GTGTGTGTGTGTGTGCATGTGTGTATACATTATATTTACATGTTTATGGTACTATTTATAACTTCTTTGGGGCAGAATAAAATAAAAATCACAAGTAAAAGCTAAGAGGAAACTGATATAAAAAAGAAAAAAGACGTCATAACCACAAGCAGTACAGCCACTAACGAAAACAACAACAACAACAACAACAACAACAACAACAACAACAACAACAACACAGCAACAATAGAAATACCTATAATAGGAAGGCAATCGTTGGAAACAACAATAACATCAAACATAAAACAAAGAATGGTAGCTCAAAATTCAACAACGCAATAACCACACACCAATAACAAATAAACAACAAAAACGACGAACTTAAAACAAAAGCAATAACTAACGCCACTATCGCCACCAAAGACAACAACTGCCTCCACTGTCAATTACAAATAGCGACAACAACGACAATATCAGAACAGCAACAAAAGCAATACATAACCAATAATAATACTAATAATAACAACGCCATTAAGAAAAACCTCAAGCAACGACAGCAACAAGAAAAATAGCAATTACTACCAGAAAGTCATAAATCCACAATCGCAAAACCATCATCATCGTCAACAAAATGTGAAGAATACAACACCGGGGGTATAAAATGACCCCACGGCGTACGGATGGGGTTACATAACCTGACAGTGTTGATAGGGGCATTAAACTTATACCATTTCACCATTTTCACAAAGGTATCTTACACAGAGGATTGTCTTTGGCAGTTCGTGTAAAACACTTATCCGTGCAGTTGTCATGGTAGGCCAGATGGGTAACAACAGCAGTGTTAAGGGGACACTGGGCATAATACGTCCCTTCCGTGTCGTAGTTTATACATTGGTAACACTGCAGCGGTCCATCTGTGTCCACCACCACTGTTGATGAATACACATGGAAAAAATGATTAAAGATATGCCAGACGTAGTTGTTTTTTAAATTTATTTATTTATTTATTTATTTATTTATTTATTTATTTATTTATTTATTTATTTATTTATTCATTTATTTATTTATTTATTTATTTATTTATTTATTTATTTATTTGTTCATTTATTTATTTATTTATTTATTTATTTATTTATTTATTTATTTATTTATTTATCTACTTATTAATAGTTTTTCGGGGGGGGGGGCAGTTCTGACCCCAATACAAACTAACAAAAAAGTGAATAAATTTGAAAATGTAGTGTTTTAGCAACTTGTAGTGCATGCTTCCTGAGAAGACGAGTTTGTTTCCCAGTTTATTGCTTGGGTCTTATAGTGTAATAATAGTTGGGCACTTGTATCGTTGGAATTCCTTTTTCAGTTGAATTTTCCCAAAACTAATGTTCATATTTTTGTGAGGCTTGTTGACTATTAAGAGGTTGATGCTGCTGCTGGTGCTGCTGCTGCTGCTGCTGCTGCTGCTGCTGCTGCTGCTGCTGCTGCTGATGGTGATGGTGATGAAGGTGATGATGATAATGCTTTTGCTGCTGCTGCTGCTGCTGCTGCTGCTGCTGCTGCAGTTGATGTCAATTTTTCACATTAACAACATACCAGTTATATTCGGGTCAGTCAGGTGCTCATTAAGCGAAACGCCAGAAGATGTTCCTGGAATGAAAAATGAAGCAGAATCTATTTCATGCAATTCTAATTTTGAAAAACATATGGGTGTCAAAGAATGAGAGAGTGAAGAAAATAAACTGCCCCTCCCCCTTCGTCTGGGCTATTGACGCCTTCTACTGCTACTCCTGGCGCCTTCGTACTGCTGTTTATTTTAGCAACATGTCTGATCTTAGGGTAGATAAGATTGAGATCTGGCCTTCTCGGATAGACAAAAAGTACCTCGGAGGCCCCGTGTGCAAGTTGCTCACGTTTAGAATCTCTTGATGGTCCTACATGTACATGTTCAAGAACATATGGACTGACCAGTGTGAGACTGTGCCAAGCGTCACTTTGCATGGGCATATAGGACTCTTGTACTAAGCAGTTCTTATGGAAGCGAATGTGATGATTACATACGTGTACGTAAAACGAACAAAACGAGAAGAAGAGATTTTTACAAACCAGGGTCTCCGGCATCGCAATTATGGATGTTAGACAATACAGCAAGAAGTAGAAGAGACCAATGTGAATCGATTCGGTGGGGGATGTCGGGTGTTGCTGTCACAGAGAATTCACGTTTTTGTTTAGGTAAGTTTGTTCTTGACGACGTTCGCTGCTGCATAGTAGCAATTGAGCGCCCGGGAAACATTACACACTTTCAGATTGGTAGGAATTTTGAATTTTGCCCGGGTGGTGACCGAAGCCTACTATTATCGATTTTTGGATCACCAAGGAATCTATAACTTGTACTACTTGCACACAGGACCTCCCAGATTGTTTGCCTCTTATCCAAGAAGGCTAGGTTCAGATCTTACCTACCCTAAGATTAGGGATGTGGCTTACAGACAAGTAGTAAGAAGGAGCCAAGAAGTAGATATAGAAAGGCGGAAGAAAGAATCAGGGGCCCAGAGGAGGGGGCAAAGCGGAGACGAAAGCAGATGTCAGCTCATAGTTACAAAGCAGGAAAAGAGGTGAAAAGAGAAATTTTACAGACGAAAAAGTCAGGTTTTAAACCCGAGACCTATTGAATGAGAGGTGAACACCGTAACCTTTAGACCACGACAGCCCCCTGAGAATTCACTTTATTTCGTTTTACCCGATTTTGATCCGAATTTGCATATAACTGCTCGTGTCATAGAGCCTTATTATGGCTAATACGGGGTGCCCACAACGGCTGGATCGGGCCGATCGCCCGACTCGGTCGCGTGAAACTGAAAACAAACACGTTTGTTTTTTAGGCGACCGAGTCGGGCGATCGGCCCATCGGGCCGATCCCATCAATAGTGAGCAGCCCGTGTTAGAAAAATATTTTGCCCGGGAAAAATTTTTTTTTTAACAGACACCATGCATGGTTTCCAAACGTTTCTCGAGAAATCAGTGTCTCATCTCGCGATCAACCGCTACTCAGAGTCACCTGACAAGACTCATTATTTGATTTTGCTTTCAGACAACCACTGAAAGCTTTCCATTTACATTTTCCCCTGAATCTTTCGGTCTCGTCCCGTCAAAAGGTCCTGAACAAACAGGGTCGAAATCTTTTATATGACGCGACGCTTTATTTGCGGACTGCTTCGTTTCTTGGCGCTATTGCTCCCATTATACCAGCTGCGACCTGCGTCTGTGGTGCAACGGTTAGGGGCTTGACAGTCGCACACAGGAGACCCGTGCTCGATTGCTGAGAGGGAAGAATTTTTGGGGAGTATCTGGTTCTTTCTGCTGAGAAGTTGTATAGCTTTCAGTCCGGTGTAGCCCTGACAAGCTTGGTTAAATTAATTTAGCCCCTTAAATTAACCGAATTACACCGATGTGAGTGTAAAAATCCCCGCTGCAATTAAATATACACACACATAT